TCGATGGGCAGGAGATCTTCCACGACTCAATCAAGACAGATCCGATCCCATGGTTTCGCAAGTTTGAGCTCACTCTGCAGCTCCACAACGTCAAGGAAAACAAGCACCACGCTTACTTGTACTCTCGCTCAGGGGGCGCGTGTCAGGCGTGGTTGGACAACTTGTTGTCCAAGTACGGAGTGRTAGCAGCGGACTTGCACACCATGATCAGCTGGGATGATCGGAAGGCGGCGTGGCACAAGCGGTTCCAGGTGGAGCCGCCAGAGATCAAAGCCATGGACAAGCTGATGGTCTTCGAGCAAGGCACGCTGCCGAGTACGGACTGGATCGTCGAGTACCAAMGCTTGACGTCAGTCCCAGACATCCAGATGGGCTTCAAGGCCATCCGCCACTATTTCATCTCAAGGTCATGTCCGGCATTGAGCAATGCCCTGACGCATGTCGAGGACATCTTGACGACAACGGCGGAACTATTCGACAAGGCTGCACAGATCATCGTTACGAACAAGGAGGCCAAGAACCTCCGTTCTTCTGCGTCAGGCCCGAGCGGGAACCAGCACCGGCCACGAGTGGCCGTGGTCGCAGCGGCAGCGCCGTTAGACCAAACCAGCGAGGCTGCGTCTGCCAGTGAAGGAGACAGATTCACAGCCGCCCGGGAAGGTGGCCGCGCCGGCAGAGGCCGAGGGCGCGACAAGCCGAAGACAAACACCGTTTCTAGCCCCGGGCCCGGTGCAGCAGCTCAGACAGGCCCATGGACCCGGTATGGCCTTTCCGAGTCCGCATACAAGGCGCGCGAGAGATTCCATTATTGCCTGTGGTGCAACAACGATCTTCATCTGACGCCGGTTTGCCCACTGAAGGGCAAGGGTCGACAAGGAAACTGAGCACCGCCGAGAGTGATGCGACGACATTCTCGACGCCTTCGGAACTGGTTTCTTCGCGAGTGACCAGCCTTCATTCCGAGGCGCACGCGGAAGTCGACAGTCCTCCGCTTCTATTTTCTTTCGAGGACTATGCTGCCCGGCTCGTTCCAACGCTGGGTACTCAAGCTCAAGGACAAGGAGTGTGTGCGGTTTCTCCTCCGTCCGGCAACAGCACCATATCGTCTTCAAGTGGTTCGTCACGGGATTCGGCGCGCGAGTTCAAGATAGAGGTTTTGGACCCGCTCACGTCTGAGGACTTTGCATGACTTCCTCTCCCGACCACAGGCTGTTTGCCAGCACCGCAATGCGCAGCACTTAGCGCTCATCTCCACACTCACCTTTCCTTCTATGCACCACCAACTTTGCCGACGGATGACGAAGTCGCGGTGGGGGACATCCTGGCGTACATTACCAAGGTGGCCCGCGAGTTTCGCACGCAGCGGTACGATAACAACAATGCACYGCTCATGTATGTCCGCATCCAGGTTGGGCAAGCGTCCTGCAGCGCTTTGCTGGATAGCGGYGCGACTCGCAACTTCATGAGCCAGTCTTTTATGCAAAGAGCTGGCCTTGGCACACAAGTTCGGAGAAAGGCGAACCCGATGGCGATCAAGTTGGCGGATGGAAAGACGCAGCAACTACGCGACCGTTACATCGGGGCCGTACCGGTCTACTTCGCACCTCATGCATGCGAACCGGTGACATTCGATATTCTCGACACGGACTTCGACATCATTCTGGGAATGCCTTGGCTTGCAAGTGCGGATCACACGGTCAACTTCCATCGGCGGACTCTTAGCGTTCGCGACGCCTTCGGCGTGGAAGTGGCGTGTACGATTCCTCTACCACACTCTTCGATCCGGTGCCAAGTGGTGACGACCAAATCATTCCGGACGACTTGTGCTTACGAGCAGCCCGAGGAGATCGGCATATGTTTCCTACGGACCGTCGCGTTAGCCGACTCTTCACCCACGGACTTGTCTTCGGACCCCCGTGTGGTACGGTTGCTGGACGAGTTCGCCGACATCTTCGAGTCACCTACCGGTGTGGTGCCGGGTCGGCCGATCTCTCACGAGATCATTCTTGAGGCCGGTGCCGTGCCGCGGAAAGGTTGCATCTATCGGATGAGCGAAGAGGAGCTTGAGGTACCCCGCGCACAACTCGATGATTTGTTGGCCAAGGGCTGGATCCGCCCGAGTAGCTCCCCATATGGAGCACCAGTTCTCTTCGTCAGGAAGAAGAACAAGGATCTACGATTGTGTATCGACTACCGCAAGCTCAACGCGCAAACCGTTAAGAATGCAGGGCCTCTTCATCGCATCGACGATCTTCTCGAGCGACTGGGCGGTGCGAAGTATTTTTCCAAGTTGGATTTAAAATCAGGATATCATCAAATCTCGATTCAACCGAATGATCGCTACAAAACCGCATTCAAGACGCGGTACGGACATTTTGAGTGGGTGGTCATGCCTTTTGGCCTCACCAACGCCCCGACAACATTCCAGGCAGCGATGACCAATGAGTTTCGTGCAATGTTGGACCGGTTCGTGCTGGTCTACTTAGACGATATTCTCGTCTACAGCCGGACATTGGAGGATCATCTTTGACATCTTCGACGAGTGTTGGAGACGCTCCGCCGTGCCAAGTACAAGGCCAACCGCGACAAGTGCGAATTTGTTCGGCAAGAGCTGGAATACTTGGGCCATT